CAAGCGAGTCTCCTGCCTCAGCCTCCCAAGTAGCTAGGACCACAGGCTCCTGCCACAATGCCCGGCTATTTTTTGGTTGCAGCCATTATTGTTGTTTGGCAGGGCCGGGCTGGATTTGAACCTGCCACCTTAGGTGTATGTGGCTGACACCTTAGCCACTTGAGCCATAGGCGCCAAGCCAGCACTGCCTTTTTATTTATTTATTTATTTATTTTAAGACAGAGCCTCAAGCTATCCCCCTGGGTAGAGTGCGGTGGCATCACAGCTCACAGCAACCTCCAACTCCTGGGCTCAAGTGAGTCTCCTGCCTCTGCCTTCCAAGTAGCTGGGACCACAGGCATCCACCACAATGCCCGGCTATTTTTTGGTTGCAGCCATCGTTGTTTTGGCGGGCCCGGGCTGGATTCAAACCCGCCACCTTAGGCGTATGTGGCTGGCACTTTAGCCACTTGAGCTACAGGCGCTGAGCCAGCACTGCCTTTTTAAACAGGCATTTGGTGCTTGTTCATTTTATAGGAAATTTAGAGAAATACGGGAGAGTTATATGAAAAAGTATCATAGTTTTACTGTTAATAGTTACTAGTTAACATTTCCTCCCAATCATTCTTCTTCTTTTTTTTTTTTTTTTAAGAGATAAAGTCTCACTCTGTTGCCCAAGCTGGAGTGCAGTAGCATTGTCATAGCTCACTGTAGCCTCAAATTCCTAGGCACAAGTGACCCTCCTGCCTCAGCCTCCCAAGTAGCTAGGACTATAGGCATGTACCACAATACCTGGCTAAGTTTTCATTTGTTTATTTATTTATTTATTTGCAGTTTTTGGCTGGGGCTGGGTTTGAACCTGCCACCTCTGGCATATGGGGCCGGTGCCTACTCCTTTGAGCCACAAGGCACCACCCAGTTTTCTTATTTTTTGTAGAGAAAAGGTCTTGCTATGTTGCCTTGAACTCCTGATCTGAAATGATCCTCCACTTTGGCCTCCCAAAGTGCCAGTATTATAGGAATGAGCCCCTGCACCCAGCTCCTCTACTCATTTTTTCCATTCTTTTTCTTACATAGTTGAGATCATACAGTATAATATGTATAATTTTATACCCTGATTTTTTTCACAAGATCATTTTCTCATACTAAGATTAAATCATGAACAAGTTTTTATTTTTTGAGACAGAGCCTCAAGCTGTCACCCTAGGTGTCAGCGGTTCTCAACCTGTGGGTTGCGGCCCACAGGAACTGTATTAAAGGGCCTTGGCATTAGGAAGGTTGAGAACCATGTTCTAGGTAGTAGAGTACTGTGGCATCACAGCTCACAGCAACCTCCCCCAAGCAATTCTCTTGCCTCAGCCTCCCAAGTAGCTTGGACTACAGGCACCCATCACAACGCCTGGCTGTTTTTTGGTTGCAGTTGCATTGCTGTTCTGCAGGCCTGGATTTGAACCTGCCAGCTCTGGTGTATGTGGCTGGTGCCCTAGCCTCTTGAGCCACAGGCTCCGAGACAAATCATTAACAGTTTTTACAATACTGCTTCCCATTGAATAGTGTGACTATACTTTACCATTTCTGGCCTCTGGCTCGCTTCTGCCTTCCTCAATTTAGCTGTCCTCCTGTAAACTTACTTTTTATTTTCTTGCAGCTGGAACAGCTTTGGGTCTTGGAGTTGTGAACATCCTCCACACCATGAATCCTTCCCTTGTGATCCTCTCTGGGGTCCTGGCCAGTCACTATATCCACATTGTCAAAGACATCATCCGCCAGCAGGCCTTGTCCTCGGTGCAAGATGTGGACGTGGTGGTTTCAGATTTGGTTGACCCGGCCCTGCTAGGTGCTGCCAGCATGGTTCTGGATTACACCACTCGCAGGATCTATTAGCCTTCTGGGAACGAAAACAGGGATGAAACTCAAGAGCTCCCTAGTGGAATCAACTTCTTGTATTTGAGATGAGCACGTCTTAAAAAGCAACTTTGGTGTTAACTGCAGTTGACTTTGGCAAAGAAGGGTTCTAGTTCTTTGCTTCCTCTTCTCAAGTCACCTTTACCACCCCCATTTTTATAGATGCTACTCTTTCTGATATTTTCCTAACAGGAGTCATTTTAGCACAGATCCTGTAAGTTCTAGTCACAATATTCCATGCCCAAAGGAGCTACACAAGGAAGACAAGGAAGCCTTAGGTAGGACTGAGCTTACTGATGAACCAGTTGGACCTGAAGACCTTGTTTGAAATGTAAGCCTCATCTTGGAGTTGGAATTAATTCTTCATCCTGGGGCTGGGTGCGGTGGCTCACGTCTGTAACACTACCACTCTGGGAGCCAAGGCGGATGGATTGCTTCAGCTCAGAAGTGTGAGACCAGCCTAAGCAAGAGTGAGACCCCATCTCTAAAAATAGCCGGGCATCATGGTGGGCGCCTGTAGTCCCAGCTACTCAGGAAGCTGAGGCAGGGGATCACTTGAGCCCAAGAGTTTGAGGTTTCTATGAGCTATGACATCACGACACTCTATCGAAGGTGACAAAATGAGACTCTGTCTCAAAAAACATAAAATAGGCTGGGTGTAGTGGCTAAGCCTATAATCCCAGCACTCTAGGAGGCCGAGGTGGGTGGATTGCTTGGGCTTGCAAGTTTAAGACCAGTCTAAGCAAGAGTGAGACCCCGTCTCTTTAAAAATGAAAAATTGAGGCAAGAGGATCATTTGGGCCCAAGAGTTTGAGGTTGCTGTGATCTATGATGCCTACTTTTATACAGAAAAAAAGTGAGACTCTATCTCAAAAAAAAAAAAAAAATACATATATATATATACACACACACATATATATATGTATGAAATAAAAAAAAAAATCCTTCATTCTCTGAAACTCATCACAGAAATCCAGGCAAGGTAACAGAAGGAAATCTCACCAGGAAAGGCTTAAGTACATTTTCTGTTTTAACAACTTCATTGGGGTTTTCTTTTCTTTTCTTTTTTTTTTTTGGTTGCAGCCATCATTGTTTGTTGGTGGGCCCGGGCTGGATTCGAACCCACCACCCTAGGTGTATGTGGCTGGTGCCTTAGCCACTTGAGCCACAGGTGCTGAGCCATGACCTTAACCTTCTGAGCTCAAGCAATCCTGCCTTGATTTCCCAGAATGCAGACTTACAGGCGTGAGCCACAGTGCTGGCCTGTATATATAATTTCTCTCT